AAAAATTAGAATGGCAAGATCATACAGTATGATAATTAACAATTTAAATTAAACTCCTCAGAGACAACATATTATACATACACACACACACACACACACACATATACATGCGTATGTGTATATATGCATGTGTATATGTGTAATGTGTGAATATATTTTAGAGTTATCCAATTATATACCTAAGAAAGCAAATATTTATCCTAATTTACCCTAGCATCTATGAATCTATAACTTTGCAGTCTACTAGGAAAAAGAGATCAAACTGATACATCGGTGCACATTGGATTGGCACTGTTATACAGAAAATTGATTGTATAGGAAATTGGCCAGATGTGGCTGATAATTTTGCAGATAAATGCCTGTGCACACACATAGCCATAGTGCAGCATGTAGTCAGTGAGGAGCACAGCTCAGCAGTTTGGAGAGCTGCATGCAGCTAGTAAGTCTGGTGTGGGGGGAGGGGAAGGGGGAGGCAAGAGAAGGGACGTGGTGGGGCAGATCAAGGCCCCTGTGGTGAGGGAGGAGTGGAGCTGGAGCAAGTGCTGCCCAGCCAGGGTGGGGCGGGTGTGGGACAGAGCCACCCCTTATCCGGGAGGGCACGGGGGGTGGGGGGAAGTGCCCCCAGACCTGTGGGACAGGCTAGGACTGGGGCTGCATGGGGCTCTTCCTGGCTGGCTCTCTGCAGATCCGAGGGCACACGGCCCCTGCATACCCTCCCGGATGAGCAGCGGGAGCCACCAGATGAGCAGGCGAGTGCCGGACCAGGAGCTCTTGGACGAGCAGCACGCAGTGGCAGGGGGTGGACCCCTCCCAACGCTTCCCCTCCCTCCCCTCGGATGAGCTGCAGCTCCATCCCATACCTGGTCCACCCTGGCTGGACAGCACTTGCCCCAGCTCAACTCCTCCCTCACCGCAGGGGCCTTGATCTGCACACCCCATGCCCCTTCCTTCTCCCCTCCCCTTCCGCCACACCAGACTTACCAGCTGCACTCAGCTCTTCAAGCTGATGGGCTGGTATCGGAAATCGGATTGGTATTGGCTGATATGCCTCTTTAAAAATCATCTATTGGTATCTGTCCCAAAAATTTCTATTGGTGCACCCCTAGTATTAATTTCACTAGATGAAGGAAACCATCTTAAAAAGAAAATTCTAAAAGCATATTTAAAACTTTCTCATTTTGTTTTACAGATTAATGAATTAGTCAACAATTCATATTTTTAACCAGACATCATCATCATTATTATTATTAACTGAATTCACTTCATAGTTTCACTTCACTAGTCTAAGACAAGGGTGCTAAACTCCTGGTTCGTGCGCTACATTGGCCCATAGTGCTGTGTCATCCAGCCAACAGGGATCTTCACAGGTCTGGAAGTTTGGAAGCAGGGAAGCAGTAGCATTACTATGTTGCTGCCTAGTTTTTTGACCATAAAGAACCCCAGGCCCCATGGGCTGGATGTGGCATCCTATCCTAGTGCGCAGGGCTGGGCCCCTGGGATCCAATCCCAGTGAGTGGGGGGATAGCATCAACCCCCTGGGATCCAAATCCAGCACAAAGTGGGTAAGAGCAGGCAGTGCTGGGCCCCAGTGCCAATCCAGCCTGCAGACCATCCCTGTGCCACTCAGCTAGCTGACAGTGCCAAAAGGTTGCACACCACAGGTCTAAGACATTTGTTACTTTGATTAGTTGCAGATTCTCTTGCTAAAATTTGCCTGTATCTCTAGTAATTTTTTCTCTTCCTATAACATTCTTCTTATGAGGCAACGAGATAGTAAGTGTATGTAATGATAAAGTAATCAAACTTATTTAGTTTTTAGCAATGCTCTGCATCTAGGCTCATTCCTCCAATCATGTCAGTATTTAGGAGGACAAGGATCTTAAAAGTAGCCAATTACTGGGTTAAAAAAAAAAAATCACAAAGAGCTTCTGGGCTTCTCATGGATTTTGAAATCCCATACTGTTCATTATTAGAAGACACTTAATTTTACAAGCTCTGATTATTTTCTAAAGTAATTTCTAATGGGGTTAGTCACAGTGCCTCTGTTCTACACTGAGGACAAACTACTAAATTCTGATTAGGTGAAATTTTAATGGATGTGTGTCTGTTGATATTTGTAGATAGACAAAAAGTTTTAGAGAAGTTCATATGAGTTCTCTAATAGCCCTAAAATTTTCAGCTGCATCTTCTGGTTCTTTTAATCTTTGGGCTATCTAAGATTAATATCTTTAATATTATTGTCAATCTTTAGGGATTGACATCCATGTTTTTCAAGGCAATCATTAAGACTTACCACTTCTTAGAAACTAACAATTTTGCCATTTGGCTTTTTTTTTTTTAAAGCATTGGTGCTCTTGTGTTTTCACTAGCTGCAGTTATTTTTATGAGCCTTTTATAAGCTTCTTACATAAAAAAGTTAATTGATTTTAAATCAATGCAAATCAAGCCCATTAGGATTCTGTCTGCCTTTTTATCAGCAATTTGAGATAAAGCTACCAAACTACAACAAACATTACAAAGCTCATCTGTCTATATACAAACCTTTATTGGCATGGTTTCCCACACCATTTAGGACCGGGGTGGGCAATTATTTTGTCTGCAGAGCTACCTAACAAGTTTGGGTAAGCTGTCGAGGACAGAAGGGGTAGCTCTGCCCCTTCACAGGTGCCCTGCTCCCTAGTCACCACCTTGGGACTAGAAGTTCCGCCCCCTAACCCCTGACCTTTGCCACCAGACGTATTCCTTTCGGGAAGGGGGTTTGCCATCTTGGAACTGGAAAAAGAACAAATTATATACTAACAATCAAACATCTACAATGACATATTTTAACATTATTTCAAAAAATATTTTTGTCCTGAATTGTGTGTTTGCGTTGTGTATATAGAAATGATTGCATAATAGTTCAAAATGAAGTCTTACTCTTGTATATAGTGAGGGGAAGAGGTGTGGGGGGCATGTGGAGAGACAGGGTGGCTAGGGAGTGTGTGTGTGGGGGGAGCTGGGAAGGGGGGCCCTACAAATACACTCCCCCGCATTGCACATAGTCCCTGCTGCTAGCAGCAGCAGGCACAGCCCCACCCCGGCAGTGTGCGGTCTTGACATGCCCCAGGACTACATGTGGCCAGGCTGCTGGCTCCATTGCACCGGGTTCACATGCCTGAACCCTATGTGATGAAGCTAGCAATACAGGTCATACGGCTTGGCCAGGGCAGCAGGAAGAGGGGTGGAGCTGGCCTGGATCCATAGTGTAGAGCTCCCCGCCATTCCCCAGGACCTGTGTGTAGCAATGAGTGGAGGCAGGCTGCCAGCTCCATTGTGTGGGGCTTGCCCCATGAGGTGAGTGGCCCAGGAGGAGAACCCAAGAACTATATGCAAGCCCTGTGCCCACGCCAGCCCAAGCTCCGTGCTCCTGCTGTCCCACCCTGGGTCCCACTGGCTCTGGACCATCGGCAAGGGTCCCGCACTTCTACCCAGCTGCTGCATTCACTCCTGCCCACTGCCAACACCACTCCCCCCACCAGCATGTCGCTTTATATTAGTTTACATTTATTTTCCTGAGTACTGTTTACTGGGCTTTCAACTGTTATGAACCAGACAGGAAGTCTGCTTAGTCCCCTTCTGCAAGGCAACTAGATGCCTTGATGCATTTGAAAAAAAAATTCAAAGGACCTTCTCCATGTTGATATACATGTGTTGCACCAAGTTTTCATTTTTGATTTATGTTTCAATAAAAAGTTTGATTTCAGTTAGAGAACACATATTAAGTTCCAAATATAAGAAACTCTCACTTTTAAGAAAACCTCAAGATACTTTGTATGTTTAATACAGTATGTTACTAAATCTGTGAAACAAGATTTTTTGAAAGCCATGCATTTTGAAAGCCATGGAGATTTTCACATAATGCCCCAAGTCCTCCACCACAGAAGCCAACAGTTTTGCCATTGACATTGAAGGGAGCAAATACAAGTTCACTTACAAATCTAAGTCTGATGGCATTCCAGCAATTGATGGGGAAATGAGGCAGAGGAAAGATACCATAAAACATTGGGGCCCAACCTTTCTGGCAGGTATACCACAAATTACCCCTGCAACCTCTGGGTGCCACTCCAATCCCTTTCCTTATCTACTGCTCTGCTTCCTTGCTTCCTGCCCCATCTGTTGACACGCTGCCTGTCACTTTCCTAGTCTTCACTTGCCACACCCAGAGGCTGCCTGTGCCACTTCGGGCATGCATGCTACAGGATGGCCACCCTTGCGATAAAACAGCACAATGCACCTAACGTAGAGGACCATGCCATATTTTATTAAAACTAAAGTACATGATCTTATTGAATAGACATTGATTTCAGACGTGTAGGATGGGTGTATAATCAAATACCATAATTTCTTGCATACAGGCCCCTGAATAAGATATGCATTTTGTTTTTCAAAGGCAGAAGGCAGGCAAAAAAAAAATAGAAATTTCTTGTAATAAGCAACTGAGTAACAACAGCTAGGTAGGTCTCTGTGGATTGTGTACAAACTTTATGTTTGCTTTTGTCTGGTAAGTGGCAAAAATTGCTTGTACCATATTTCTTGGATACAATGCATACTCCATTTCCAACAGTTGTTTTTGGACAATAGGTGTTGTATGCAAGAAAATACAGTAAAATACATCCACATTTATGTAAATATTCAGTGCAATTAGGGAGAAGCAAATATTGCAACCTCAAAAATATTATTTGATCGTAAAAATATAGACAAATGTGTGCCTTTAAGGGTCAAAAAAGGAGCAGTGCATCAAATGCACATTCTTTTTATATGCAAGGCAAAAATGAGTAATTTTTCTTTGTCATCACATTTTTTGTATCTTGACTTAACAAGGATTAAAATGGTAAGAAATTCTAATTTCATATCTATCCAAGCCTTTGCTTCCATTCAGTTAGTTCTATTACAGTTTGATTGTCAACGTCATAATATAGCCAGTGTGACAGAACACTAAATTAAAGTCAGGTATTTACCATTTCTGAATTGGAACCATTGTGCAACTTCATAGCTTTTTCCTGTACATTTCCTATAACGGCATCTGCACAGAGGGCAAGGGATATAAGGACCACACCTTCAAGAAAGTAAAGAGGGGAGAAAACTGTTCAGAGTGCTGATTTACTAAACATGCAGAACAGTAACAAAGTGCCACTTCAAATTTGCCCGCATAAATCTTGAACTGCAGGGGGTATCATTTTAAAAATGCTAGCTAAAACTATATCCATTAGAAGTTATTTTAATTTTGCTTTTCTTGTACTGGCATATAGGAAACTGTTTAATTTACAATTCCAATAGGAAGGTAAATAATAGTGAATTGTCCAGCAGTGACCAATCATCAGGAGTTAGTAGCAAAGGGAAGCAGAGAGAGGGGCAGTCACTGGCAAAGAACTGGAACAATGGCGAGTTATCCAATGTGGAAATTAACCAAAGTTTACTGGATGCTTCTTATATAAAAAAATCCATCATAATTCTTCCCTTTCGCCACAAAAAATTTGATGGGGGCACTTATCCCACAGTTAAACACAAATAATTTGAATTAGATGAACTATTTCCCATGCACTATGGTACCTTATAGGAGTTTGTATTTTTTTTGGAAAAAAAAAAGTCTTTGCCTTATTAAAATGCTTTGAAGTTTTATTCCATGCTAAGTTTGTGAACAATTCACCTCACCTTTAAAGAAAAAAAAACCTGTTTTCTAATCTGTTATTTAAGTCTAAGACTAAATGGACAAAATGATATCTCAATATCCCAATTCAAATATTTTGATATTTAAAAATCTGCCCAGCCAAACACCTTTACTGTAACATTAATAAAGCTAATAATTCTCTGTACAGGAAGACTAGAGGGGACAAGAGTGGGCATGGAACCCATCATCTCCTATTGCTCCAGGCAGTGTTCCTAATACTGACTAGTGCTGCCAGTAGCCTAGATAAAAATTTCTTTTGTTGGTTGCTGCACAGATGTAGCAAAATGTACCCTTTCTATATGTGGTCTCCCCTCTTTTAAAAAGCACAATACTTCCAATCACAGCTGCTTGAGAAAACTAACTTCCAACTTCCCAGTATGACAATGCCAACAGCAATTGCTGAGCTCTAAGTATCTATTCTATTTTAAAAATTAATTTCCTTCCTAGTTACAAATACAAAAGTGCACTGGCAAATGCCACTTTGTTTCCTTTGCTGACAAGAGCAGTGGATGAACGGATTCTTGAGTGAGGTATATTTCATTAAGCCAATGTGTTTCTCTTGCACAACAATGCTGCCCCTGGATTCCACTAGTACTAAGGAGCCTTAAATCTAATTTACAAAATTCTGCATGGCACAATTTTTCATCAAGCTGATGCTTTAAACCACTCAGGTTTTCTGTTTTTAACATTTGTATCAGACAGCAAAGATTACTTGTTCTGTTTAACCTCACAGCACAGTTTTGCTTCCTTAGGCAAAATTGTGACATGTAAATAGATTTGCCCTTGACAATGTGCACGTTTAAAGAATTCTGATTAAATCATGCGAGTAAAGAAATGCTTCCGCTAGAATCATACAAGTTTGTGTGTAAATGCTTTCAATGTATTTATGAATATGAGCCACTAGAAGGAAATCTGATGTTATTTGGTGACTAGCAACTAGACAGTATCATAAGGCAAGTGAATTCCTAGGAATTTGTCATTTTGGAGTTACAATCCAGAGTAAAAAGTTAATGTTGTTTTGAAAGGCTCAATATGTTTAAGTCTGTAGCCAGGTTTTCTTTTCACTATCCTAGAATATATTTCAAATGTCAATTTACTTTCTGCTTCCTATGGACATCTTCACTGCAGTTTTCTTCAGGGTGTCATCAGGAGTCATGGAATAAAACTACACAGAACTATTAAAGGACAAGGTAATATTACCTTATATAGTAAGCACTCTTTAGAAATGTCACACTTAAATTGGGAATACAATGACAGCAGTACATATACTCCTGTAAGCCAGCTTCAAGCGTGCTTCTTAGGTAATGTACTAAGCTGCCTTCTACCTCCATCATTTGGCTACTAAAATAAAAGACTTAACTTCTACACCCTCTCCCCTCTCTGAAACACTAAATAGGTATGATGGGAATACGATTGGATAAATAAGTAGGATGGGAATCAAGGAAAAGATATAACTTGCCCAGGATTACAGAAAGTGAGTACCAGAACCAGGAAGAGAACTTGGACCTAGTCTTTTGATGTGAAACAGTCTTTCAAACTCCAGTTTTGTGACCTATTATATTCTGGGTATCAATACATCTTTGGTTGAAATAGATCCAAGGCATGTTAAAAACAAAAAGGTAATACTGTTTGTAGTGCTATAGCAACAATTTTCAAACACTAGTATCTATAGATGATTTTCTCACTCAATTATTGATTTTGGCATCAACATAGTCCCAGTTCCTTCAGTTTGCAACATCTTTCCAACCAAATTAAAAAAAACCCGTAAGAAATGTTTAAATGTGTGGACTATTTAAATTTTGCATTTTTACATTTAAAACCCATTCTGAAAACAGAAGGAATAATATGCACCTTGATATGGAGTTACATTTGGGCACACTTATTTAGTAGGCACCAAAAGTCATACCATCCTCACATCATACCCATTTCTCTCATTCAACTACACATCCAGTCATGTGTGATGCTGACTAAAATGTACATTAAATATATGCACTAGATCCTATAATTCAGATGTGAAATAGTAATGTTTTCCAGCTCTAATACACACAAATAAAACTATTAAAAAGGCAACATAGCAAAATCATGAACAGAGCTAAACAAATATTTGCATTCAGACACTTCATAAAATAAACTGGTATACTAACAAGGAAATATTGCCAATGTAAAAACACTGTCAAATATTTAAAAGCATTAATTTATTAGAATAGTTACAAGAAAGACTTCATAATTTGTACCAGGTTAGAAACTTATGCTCAATCACAAACCCCTCCCCCTCCTCCCCCCCAATATAAGGGAGACCTTTTAAAGTCTGAAAACTATTAAATAAAATTTAAAACAATTAAAGAATTATTACATCCTTTCTAGCAGTGTTTGGTTACTATTAAATGTGAATATTACTGAAGACCAAAAAGAGGTCTAAAACAAATAGTAAAAGTGGTGACAAATATAAATGAAAAAAGGGTTCCAAAAGCAGTCATGACAGGGTGGCAGCATACCAAGTCCTAAACTTTCTGCATTACATTATTTTTTAAAATCAGTCTCCACTGCTTCATCTTTCACTTTTGTCATCAAATTCATGAGTACCTACCACTTGTTCCTCTTCATCCAAATATTTACTCAATTCTTTATCAGCCCTTTTCTTTTCCAACCCTAAATTGTGACATGGTTCTCAGCACTACATTTCTGGCTTCTGAATGGACAGTTTCCCAAAATGACAACTAGGTTGTTCTGCACATTTTGGAACACACAGAAATGTTGAAAAAAAAACTTCTTCCAATGTAGCTAGAATGCAACGGACACAACTCTTTCCATGATAATGAAACAATCTAATTTGATACTGTTGCTGGGACTGCATTCTGCACTGTTTTACAAAACAACACTTGCTTCTTGCTTTACAATTTGCTGTTTTTGCCAGAACTTCTCACTTGTTTCCACATAATTTATAATTTGCACTAGACAGTACAAGGTCATCATCTGAATCCAGGGTACTTTGCAAAAAGGGTGCTGTAGAAGCATGGTTCAAGAAGCCAAGCAGCATTGTGCAGGGGAGCGGTTACTTGATTTATCTTGGAGTTTTCCTCAATTTTTTCCTCTTCAGCTTTCATAAGGACTTTACTCACCATTCTCACAAATTTGGGTTTTTTTCTGCTTAGACCATCACTCTTGGGTTCAAACAACAGAGAATTATCACTCTCCATATTCTGAATGGGCTCTGTATGGTTTCAAGCAACAAAATGAATTTTGAGTTTTGCATCCAAAAGACACTGGAGTTAAGCTATGCAGGTTCAGAAGTCATGTGCTTGGTGCTCTTTGACCTACAGGTGAAACCACTCACTGGCCTACTTTGTATTGCCATAGGGGACTTGGAGAAGTTGCTCTCCCAGGCAGCCAAATCAGGAAGCCCCAAGTGACCAGCTGGTTCATCAGATAGGGTGGGACTGCTAGTTAAAGGCTGGTAGGTTTGGCCAGCTGGGCAATTAGTCTGGGCTGGGGTACCTGTTAGGACCCCTGATGGCCAGTCGCTACAGAAATAACTTTCTGTGGACCAGATTTGCCAATTATATTGGGCTATGAAGTGATGCTCAGTTGTTCACTAGAATGCAAAACTCAGTGTTTGTCAGTTGTTATGAAATTGACACTGTTCCATCAAGATACCAGAGACAACCGAGGAACTTATGCATTCACATCACCAACTCTGCTCTTTATTTCATTTCTCCCACTTTAAGATACAGAAGGCTTCCTTCAAATTGTTTTCTACTTGGAACTTTGTAAATTGGATGTATAGAAGCACTTAATGTTTTCAAGTACACAAAATGGTGTACTTCTGGAATGGGTACCAGAATATGGTGACGTCTATTTTCTGGTCATTGGGCATTTTGTCTAAAAACTTAATACCCAATTTGAAGAACAAGCGAAGACCTTCCAGGAGTGAAAAGTTTTGAGACTGACACACACAAAATAGCAAAATTAGAAAATGTAATGTATTAGAAAATGAAAAAATAATTGTGCTAAATTCCACTTTTATTCTCTTTAAGATCCCATGCTTTGGGATGATGATGCCAAAAAAAGTTGAAGGATCATGCAAAGAAAAATGTTGAGGCATATGAGTTTCCCTTTCATATGGTGTGACTGAAATAATCTAATCTTTGACAGCAGCTAGATACCTATCAGAAAAATTCGACCAATAGTTCTCCATTCTAACTGTATGCTATCTACTCAGAAGAACAGAACTTGCACTTCGCTTTAACAGTTTTTTCATATTCACTTCTAGTAATCAATTTCCACACAGATTACTTTGGCTTTTCCTGACTCTTCCTAGTCTATTAATGCCTTATTATCTCACAATCCAGAGGCTTGTATTCAAGCATCCCACAACCTAGCTAGGTCTGTTTCTAACTGCTCCTATTCCACAAGATTCCAGACAACAAAATGTTTTCTCACTTCCTGGGTTTTTAAACTCCCATACTGCATAGAGAGGGAAGAAAGAAATGGACGGTCCTTTCCACAAAGCCCAGGGTAAATCACAGAAGCTTGTGCCACCTCAAAGGTACCTCTTCTCTCTGCTGAACAGAGCTGCCTGCACTTGCAGCAGACAGCTAGTAGAGCAGAGATGCGCAATTATTTGAGCTGGAGTGTCACTTAAGAAGTTTTGATGAGCTGTTGCAGGGCTAGGGGGGAGCGGGAAGAAGTAGGGAGGGGTCCTGAGCAAGGCCAGCCCCCAGCCAGCAGGGGTGCGGGGGAGGTAGCAACTGATTCTCCCAGACCTCTTTGCCCTGCACCCATAGGCAAGCAGGGCCGGGGCATCAGGGCAAAGCCACAATACATTCCCTGCATGTCCTTGCCTGCAGAACCAACACCTAGTGCAGGGATGCAGGATCATGGCTCTGCCCCAGTCCCCGTGCTGTCATCTCCCCATGATCCCAGCTCTGCCTCTGCCCATCCTGCTCCCAGATGCTGCCCCCCATTTGCCGGTAGCCCCATTATCTGCCTGGCTGAACACGCCCTGCCTGAAGGGGTCCTGGCCCAGTCTCTGTGGAGACCCTGCCAACCTGCCTACTCCCCCCTCACCAGTGGGTGTGGAGTGGACAGGCTGGGGGGCCAGGTCCATAGGTAGCACCCAGAGTGAGCCACTGCTGCAGGGGCTACCAGGAAGCTGAATCTGGTTGCTGGGACACCTCTGCCCCACTTTGCACCTGGGGGTGGCATGACCTGCTGCACATGCCATGGCCTAGGCTGTCCCCTTACGCTTGGGCCAGACAGGGCCAAGGAACTCACCACAGGCCATATTTAGATAGATCACCATAGATAGAATCCCTTCGTGGGCTGGATCTCACCCACAGGCCATATTTTGCCCACCCCTATAGCAGAAGCTATCTAAATCAGGAGCAGCAAAACTGCAGCCCCACTTGGCCTAACAGCCTACAAGAACTCAGGAGAAGAGCAGGGCAAGATCCACCTGTCTCTAAACATAAGAGAAGGCTTGTACTATGGCTGCATATATAGGAAGGAGCTTTGTGTTATTAGTGAAGGGAGGGGAGTCTGCCTGTGTGAATCTTGACCCCTGCAACACTGCCTTTACTAACAGATGGCACCATGATGCAAACCTACATAATGGAATCCTTAGCTTGCTGAAGTATTCACCAATATTTGAGCACTTATTATTCAAACAGAGACAATGACCTGGTCAACTAAGACTGGTCAATTGACTGGCTTATAATTCTGAGCATGTGTCACTGAGACAGTCAATTCTACAGAAAACATGAAAGTAGAGGAAAAGTTTCCAAAAATATAAAGTCTGAAATATTTACTTAGCAAAACCAAACTCACCTTTTTATGTTAAATGTTTAAAAAAGTCAAACAGAATTTCATCTTATTTATTAACTTATCAAAAACTTTTATTTCTGGACTGAAGAAAAATATAAAGGGTAATATTTTTGGAAAGTTATAAGCTTCTAAGAACTGGGACTCAGAATGGAAGTGCCTCTTCTACCACAGCTGTAGTACTACTAGTGCAACAATATAATAAAATCTACATTTTCAGTATGACACCTTAAGGCATTACCACCAAAAACTCCTAAAAATTTTCATGGAATACTCACTCTAGGCAAAATAAGAATTTTATTAAAGCATAAAGTACAATGCTTCTTTACCTGTCAAGTTGAAATTTGGTGCGACTGTGCTGTCAGCTAAAGTAAACCATATTAGGCCGAGACTCATACACATTGCAGCAGACACATCTGCAATATTATAACGTTTTCCTATAAAAAAAACCCAGACAATACAAACAACATGAACATGACCATGTAATCAGTGTTAGATTTAAATCTGTTTTGGTGTTTATTTGGGCAGTAAGCAAATAAAAGTATCTCCTTCATTCAGTTCTCCACTGATATACACAGACCCAATGTCCTGCTTCCCACCATCTGAGGAGAAAACGTAAGACGTACCTCTCTATTCAGCAACTGTTCCAAAACTTTTTCATAACGTAAAGAGCATCTTGATAACAAAATTGTCTTATGAGCCATCTCTTTTATTCACAGTGGCAAAAACAATATTTTTCCTTCAATTGGGGAGGAACTGATATCACTTCAGGAAGAACAAATGTTTACTTAACTAATACTACTTTCCCATGTATCTAGTATACTTCAGTTCTCTTTAAATGTAATGACAGAAGGAAACAAGAACAGCTGTTGCCATTTGGCTAGCCATCTCTCTGCAGACCACCATCAACAGGTTAACAGGCCAGACTGGGAACTATTACTTTAGAATCCAGACCTCCTGTTGTGGTTCAGTGGTAGAGAGAATCTTTGTCTGGCATGCGGGAGGCATGGGTTCAATTCCTGGATGCACATAGATTCATAGGTGTTAGGGTCAGAAGGGACCTCAACAGATCATCGAATCCGACCCCCTGCATAGGTAGGAAAGAGCAAGCAAAACTCATGACACGTGTGACTGTGTGCATGTGTTAAGGTGCGCCCTCACTGGCACTGGGGCCTCTACACGACACAACAGTGTGCCCCAATGAGGCATCCTCCTCCCCTACAGCCTCAGTCCAGTCTACCACTTTAAATAACAACAGGTAAAATAATAACTTAGTAAGGAGCAGCACAGTAGCACCAACAGCATCTTAACCAGCCAAGCTATGACAGAGCCTTTCTTTCTGCTTCTACAGGAGCTTCTTCTCTAGCATGTGTGTGTTGAGGCACTTCCTCACTGTGTCGTTCCCCTACTTTCTGTTTCATAGATTCATAGATGTTAGGGTCGGAAGGGACCTCAATAGATCATCAAGTCCGACCCCCTGCATAGGCAGGAACGAGTGCTGGGTCTAGATGACTCCAGCTAGATGCATATCCAACCTCCTCTTGAAGACCCCCAGGGTAGGGGAGAGCACCACCTCCCTTGGGAGCCTGTTCCACATATAACCACAGCCACTGAGGCACCAAATGTCTGGGCTTTTAGGCCACTGAAACAGTATCCAAAGGGTGGAAGGGGGGTAAAGAAAGATCTCCATGCGTGTGTGTGTGTGTGTGTGTGTGTGTGTGTGTGTGTGTGTGTGTGTGTGTGTGTGTGTGTGTGTGTGTGTGTGTGTGTGTGTGTGTGTGTGTGTGTGTGTGTAAGGTCCTGGTGCTCTAACACATATACAGAAGGATTGACAGTTGCCTGCTACTACTTCAGAATCCTGTAGTTCCAGGCAACTATTTTTTTGGGAATAAGGTGAGATCCCAAGCATATCATCTGAATAACATGTTCCCTTCCCCTGGAACAGTACTTTAAATATGTTCTCAGCTGCTGAATATATAGTATTATATAATCCAAAAACATTATAAAATGACCCACAGATACCAAATTGAAATGACATATGAAGATTCCATTATGAGACAAAACCCGAAGTTTTAATTATATGTACAATATTTGCCTTCTAGTATGAATTATTTTACTTTTTTAACTTGTCTATCTTATTTCGTCTCGCTCCTAAAAGAATCACAATGTTCTACTCTGACTACAATACATGGAACTAAGTACTATAACAGGAATATTAAATGTTGAGCTCTGTACTAGAATAATATTGCTTGCTTGAAGCTTCATCGACTTTAAGCAGCACTGCATCTTCAGGACAGAGTGGGAATTTTTCATAATATACTGTGAGTCTTATTAAAACACAATATTTAAGTATGCCATATATATTTTTTTAATAATCACTATGTTATGATCTTCAGTGAGATTCATTCACCAGACCCTCTTTTTATTTTTGGATAATGACATCATTAAATATAAAATTAATCATGTTTCTTTTATATAAATTATAAATGTTTGAGAATTTTTAATGGAACTTTTGCATGTCTAAGAAAGGTGGTTTGTTAAAACCAAAACTTTATACAGAAAAAGGGTTGGGTTTAAAAAACTTCTGTTAATAAAAGTTAACAAACATTTTATACCAAGATTAAGGCATACCTTGTATAAAGACTCCTCCTATCATAACTGGAATAAGTTTACAGCATTTGAAGATGACTTGAGTAGGATAGTTTAGATATCCTAGTGAGGTATTTGATAAACCCATAGTAGCCACTGTTAAAAAGGCTATCATCATGTAGGTTTTGCCAGGAATTCTGCAAAATATAAACAGATGGAGGGTTTGTTTTTTTTTAAATATAAATATGTAACGCTTCTAAAAACAAAGACTTTCATACTGTGAAAAAAAAAGAAAAAAAGTTTTAAAAATGAGCCAAAATTTCCCTAGGATTCCCAGTCTTTTACTGAAATTGCATAAAAATTGTTGCAATTTCAATATTTTTCAACTCGGTTGAAATTAGCTATACTTCAAACTTCAGTGCCTTTTATTTAAGAAGTATAAAACATAGCATGATATGTTAATATATAGCACTCTTCTCAGACATTATTTCAATTTACAAATGAGGGAACCAAGACACAAAGATATTAAGTAAAAGACCAAAGACAGCACAGGAAGTTGGGAATAAAACCCAGATCTCTTAAATCTCAGTTCTGTTCTTAACTAACTTTCCCTCATGATGACTGCATAACAGTTTCTATTACAACCACTTCCATGTTCAAATGCTCATAACTTTCTGAAATATTTATGGTTCGGATTTTTTTTTTTTTTTTTTTTTTTTAGTATTTTTATAAAGTTAAAATAAAGTGAATTTCTCTCTATTTTTAGAAGTTGGGAAAAACCCACAGTCAATTACAAGTAAATGTCATGCTTCTTTAATAACTTCATAGAATAGGATGAAGATAGTTTAATGCCAAATCTCAACCAACTAACTGTCAGTACGAGGTATCTGAGCATTCAGATGACTATACTTTTGATCTGGTGAAATTACTACCTGGTGACAACTGTACTTTGCACACAAACAGAATGCTTCTAAGTATTACAGTAGTAAGTTTGTGAAGTGAATTCATCAACACAAACATGCTGTGCATCAAGTCTGGCTAACTTAAGAGCAAGCTAAAAATATCTGCAAAGGGGAACAGCAAACAAGGTCAAGTCTTGCTTTATTCACAGCAAATTATGCAAAACTGGCATGCTGTACACAGGGCAGGGAGGATGAGAGATTACATAAACATTCTAAATCAAAGAAAAGGCAGAATCATAATAATGATATTTTTCGTTCTTAAGTACTTACAAAATGTTACCCAGATTAGAGAAAATGTAATTTCAATATAATTTCCAGTGTAACATATAGTGACACATTCCACTAGTTTTTACAGGTGGTTCCATTTTGCCAAACATATTAATGCCCATTTAAAAAGAAGCTTAACAAATTAACAACTCTGTGTAACCTGACACATTACTTCATTTTATAATATATCAAAAGGTTCTATAATTTAGAATCTGTCAGCATCTAAAATAAATCATGCTTTCCAGAAGCTGTCTATAAAAGTGTGTTATAATCTAAAAGTTTAACAGACAGAGTCTTAGCCAAGGATCACCACTGGTGAGGCAAATTGGGGATGAGAGGGGGAAAGAAAAATCATGGACACCAATACTACAGAAATGCACAGGCACAAGAGAAAAAACAAAGCAACATTTACAATGTACCCTTTTCAAATGTTTTCTCTAAAATGTCAGTAAATATAGTAACCCCTCTGCTCCCACCAAGAAGAACTGTCTTTAATGGGCATGTCTATGCTGAGCCATGCAGTCAGAAACCTAATTTATCTAAGGTATCAGAAGCAGAATAGTGGAACTCCACAGAAGTAGCTTCTCTGAGAAGCAGAGCAACGCAACTTTAAATATTGCATGCCATCCCTTGACAGTAATCTAATGACTAGATACAGATTTTAAAGTGCCCATTTGTACATCTCTAAAGAATCAATGCCTAAAATGATAACTTATCTTGCTGCTTACATAGAAACATATGTAAATTATAGGAAAAGTTATTTACTTGTTTTAAGGTTTCTGATACAAATGTGCACAGTAGCATAAATTTCTAGCGAATTAAGCTTAACAATCAAATACAAAAAAAGTTGACATTTTAGGACTTGCTAAATTAAATGCATGTTTGAAAGCTTTCAAACATACTTTCAAAGATAGTTGGCTCTTTTTGCCTTCAGTATACGCATGAGTGCACACGCTTGCGCACACATATGCTAGCTGACAGAAAAGAGGGATGTATATATTTTCAAATCTCAACTCTATTTATGAAATATTGTATTTTATTCTATGACAATCCATGAAGTCGACTCAAAATGTTCTGCATAGTATCAGCAATATTCATATTCAAATACCAGAAGGCAGATTTTTCAAATCAAATTGGAAAAACAAAACAAATCAAGATATTTACTTTTTAAGCTCACTTAAAAAATACGTACCGTCTCCTTTTGTCCTGAATAAGCTGAAGTTCTATTAGTCCAAAAATGGAATAAAACCCAAATTGTACTAATGTAAGGTACCAACCAAAGGGCTTAAAACCCTCCACTGAAAATATCAGTTCCTATTGAAAGAAAACACATTTACACCCAAAACATTAAAACGTGATTAGTGGACTGGTTCTCTCATTACAAGTCTGCAATTCTTGTGCTTTTAAGTTATAAACATTAAGTAGAAATTATCTACAGTATGTGTCACTTAAGTATTGAAGAAAAGCATGATTTAAAGATTCAGTGAAAAAAATAGGGACAACTACAACAAAGTTAATGGAGCAATACATCAGAGAACCATGACCATCCATCACAAATTAGAAAGGACTTGATGTCTGGGTTTTTAACTGAATTTTCAAAATTATTTATTTAAGTTTGACTCTGGTTCTAGCCAGAATTCATAAACTGCTCATAAAGATTAAGTTATATACAAATCAGCACCTTTAAGAGAGAAGTTTATTAGAAATTTTCATTTCTAAAGAATCCACACGTAATATTTTGAGTACCTAACTTAAGTAGCACACGTGAATTTATAAGTCTGCAGGCTGCTAGCATATTAAAACTGGCGTTGAAAAAAATGTTATGAAAAAAATTACATACAGTACTGGGCACAGAACGATATGGAGGTGTCAATTATAGGCAGAGCTGGTGACAATGCCTACAGGTTGCCTGCCTAATATTTTCCAGGATAAGACTCTTTTCTCAGTTACCAATAACTTTAACAAAATAACTGCCTTGGCTTAACTATTTTTTTCCTTTTAAAAGTTTCAACAAAAACTCTTCGGCTGTTTCTGACACTGACATTAGGGGAAAGTATATTTTTGGTCAAAATTCTTATAACCATTTCCTTGAGAAGCGTTTGTAGCTGCATGCTTTGAAATGGAGATTAACTGTTTGGCTGAGTCACACCAGGCATTTTTACACACGTAAGTGCCCAGTGCTGCATCGCTTGCAGTTGTATAAGTGGCAAAATGCACATCAGCACTGAGAAAATGGCAGCAGCACGCTTTTGAGCTAACACACACGTGCACACACACAAGGTGTTTTAGTTCAAAAGCACAACGCTGCCATTTTCTGCGTGCTGATATGCATTTTGCCGTTTATACAACTGCACGCAGCGCACCACAGATCACATCAGCTCATGTCCAGAACAGCGGATCTTTGAAGCGGCAGATGTCCAGTGTGCCACAGGACAAAAAAGTATGTGTACAAATGCCACCTGGGCACAGAAATTCGCTAACTGTAGAGAACACTCCAATGTAAAACCTAGAACTGAAACCAGGATTCCAAAAACACCCAGCATTTCCTTTGTTGTTTAGCAAACAGTTTTGATCCCTATGGGCAAAGCACATTTTTCATCCATCTTCATGGTGGTTGTGCAGAGAGGAATTACTAGGGGCACGCTGATAAATAGGGGTACATCAATAAAGGTATTTTGGGCCGATACCGATGGCCACTTATTGACCAGCCATATTGGCTGATACCAATCTGATTGACAGTATGTAGCCCAGCAACATGGAAAGCAGTAAGGCTGGTAAGTCTGTTGGGAGGAAGGGGCAGATTGAGGCCCTCACGGTGAGGGAGTGGGGCTGGAGCAGGCACTGCACAGCCAGGGTGGGGTGCAGGATGGAGCAGTGGGCAGCTTGTCCAGGGGACGTACAGGCGGCTCCCGCTGCTGCGCACACCCCTGGGGAAGTATGGGGGGCATGTGACCCCAGAATGTGTAAACAATGTGAGGGCAGGCTGCCTACTGAGGGCTCGGGGCCAAGGGTTGCGCTGGCCTCTTCTCAGTGGGAGAATGCTGAGCCAGGGCTGCGCTCGGGGTGGGCGGCGGCAGTGCTGGGAAGGGACTATGGGGGGCTACAGCCACCCCAAAAATTCTTGTAGCCCAGCTCCCAGCTCCAGTCCTACCTGCCTGTCCCCAGCACAGCCCCAGCTCGGCCCCTGACAGGAAGAGGGTGGTGCTGCCACCGACCCTGAGCTCGCCCTTGCCTCATGCCCAAATCCAGGGAGCACATGCTCCTGCCTCCCCAGGGGTGCTTGCAGTGGCAGTGAGCTGCTTCCTGCTTCCCACCCCTCCAGACAAGCTGCCCATGGCTCCACCGGGTGCTTCACCCTGGCTGGACAGTGCCTGCCCCTGCCCGGACAGTGCCTGCCCCTGCCCCACTCCCTCCCTCCCTGTGCCTTGATCTGTCCCCCACATTGCTCCTTCCCTCCCCCATGCCCATTCCCCTGCACAGACTTAACCATGCTGTTCTCCAAGCTGCTGGGTTGCTTTCCTGGCTGAGCACATGCACGCACCATTCAAATTGGTGACACTGACTACACAGGCCAAAAAAGAGCCGATTGCTAATAATGTCAATTTTCCTTTTATCAGTGCTGATCAGATATGGACTAATATATTGGTGCACCTCTACCTATTATTAGTATGTGTTATTCAAATGGTGCGAGTGATTTGCTACAGATCTAAAGGTTTTAAGCTTGCTGAAAAACCATATAGGAACAGACTATTGTGAAATTTGTGTTTTCCTAAAGGACTAGGTACTTGGATACAAAAAATATTTATTAGAAAAACATTAAAATTGCTAAATATTGCACTCAAGGAACCTGAAAGGGTAGAATTAAGGTTGCCCAGCCAACCTTAAGCAAGCCCTCTTGTGTATAACATTATGATACACTCTAATTTCATAAGCACGTACTGTTTTCTATTTTTGAATGCTTGACTTCGCAATCTCATCTTTTCAGTGTTCTTCTTTTTAAAACATAGCTGCATAAAGCAGATATTAGATCGACCAATAAAAACACCATCATTTTAGAAACACATATATGGTAAAACAGAAGAAGAAAGGGCTGCTAGCATAAATATGACACTAAAATTTACCTGTAAATATCCATAGATTAGATAAAACATAAAAACTCCAGAAACACATATGAAGAACTGAGTAGGTTTGTTAAATTTGCTGAGATTCATGCCAAGAACAACGACATCATCTACGGACTTGATATGAGGCGACATAGCTTGTGATTTGGAAGGTACAGTGATAGAAATGTATTTCCTTGAAGAGTTGAATTTCAGATCCATGATTCTTGGTTCGCTGCATTCAGTGCCAATGGAATTGTTGCCTTTTTGTTCCTCTCTCTTTTTGTGGTCTTTGTTTGGAAGCTGAAAGAAACCACAGAAGTGAGATAAGCCACAGCAGAACAGCATTCCAGTTTCACCAGTACATAAGTTAAATTAATTTTAAAAAACTGAAACAGCTGCACAAAAGCTTTATGGGAATTGCAATAATGCACTACTTGTATATTGCGTTTCCTCTGATATGCGTGTATTCATGTGTGCATGCGCATGTAAGGAAGGAGGTAAAATAAGCAACAGCAGTAAACTCAGAATAGTGCACCAGCACTTAGTAGTAATCGCTAGTTTGGGGGATTTTTTTTAAGTTTGTGCGACTGTTTACATGTTTTTTTATTCCCGGATCTTTTCTACCCTCTTTTCTAATATCCATAAAAACTTAACGCTCTTTCAAAACCTTTGAACATAATTTGCAAAAAATGGGAACTGGTCTTTCATCAATCTCTAGAAAGCACTGGTGCAAAAAACTTGTCTCATCAGTTTCATGGTTCAGTGGGTCCCTTTAGCCCAGGGCCAAAACCAGCTGTATTGTACAAATGCTCATAGGTATGACTAAAGTATGTTGTCATGGGATGGGAATGATCACAACTCTGAAATCATAATTGAAGAGCTGGTACAGAGATACTGTGGTTATCACCACTATAATTTATCTCTTTGTCACAGTATACTAAACTCAATATATTAAGTGTCTATCTAGAAAGATTTAGCAACAATAGTAGGATACACACTTGTAGTTACCTCAAGTGTGAAATTACAAGAAATCCTCCCCTCTCTCTACCCTTCCTTTGGATTTCTTTTAAATATTCAGGAAGGTGTGCAGAATACCCCAAAATCACCAAGGCAAAGGTCCAGAAATATCCAGGATTTCAACTTTTGTCACTTAACAAAAAAGGTGGTGGCCCAATTTTTTGAAACACATGATTAGTTAAATGCACTCATTTTTACCACAACATGATAAAACCTGGTGACTGAAACCAAAGAAAAGAAATTTAGAAAAAGACTGGACTGGGAAGCAAATCTTTCATTTCTTCAGTTCAGTCAAGTATGTGGTAACTAATGTTTGAGGCATTTTTTTCCAACCTCAGGCTAAAGACACTAATCAGGCAGGACTCCTAGGGTTTTTGAGTGCAAGTCAAAAGCTAGTTCAGCCAGCAGTTAGTAAAAAAATGTTATTCGTCTCAACTGTTCTTCAGGTCTCAGGCTAAGAATACTTTCCCTTACTAGGAGGATCTACAAGAATCCCTACTCTGTCCTGCTTAAATGAAAAGCATGATAAATGGTAACATGGTTTTACTACAAACAGAGCATGCCATTTTCTTTGACAGATGATTTTCTAGTTTGGGAAATGTCATTAATTTAATTTAGATGAACTTCAGTAATCTCCTAGTGAAAGCATGCTTTATTAAATTAGAGAAGATAGAGATTAGTAAAACTGTTAGGTAGGGTAAGGAACAATTTACAGAAAAGACAACAGTAGTGTGTGCTGAAAGGTGAAGTAGCAGGCTGGAGAACGCTTACAAATGGAGTTTCTCAAGGATCGTTCTTGGGAGCAATTTATTAAACATTTTCTTTAGTGTTACTGGCATAAAAGTAGGACTATGTCAATAAAATTTGTCGGTGACACAAAGTTGAGAAGTACTGTTAATGCAGAGGAAGCTACAGATAGCTGAGAAACAGAATTAGAGGACAGGACCACAGTAATAGAAACAGGACAAAATTTACTCAAAGTTAAAGAACAGGCACTGGGGGGAAGAGGAGGAGATGTACAGACAGAAGAATTTCTGCTATATGCTCTGAACCTATCAGTTGTAAATGACAAAGGAAAAAGACCTGTGTGTATTATTAAATCACAAGACAACTATGAGACATTAATGTGATGCAGTCATGAAAAAAGGCAAATGTGATCCTAGGATATTTCATGCAAGTCAGCTCAAGCAACAAGATCCTCCTTATAGGTCGCCCCTTAGGTATTTGATGACTTAGTCATCATTCAAATACCCGCTCAGTCTTCTCTTTTCTTTAACTAAATAACCCTAGGTCTTTCAGCCTTTCCTTGTAAATCATGTTTCAGGCTCCTAATTATTTTTGTTGCTCTGCTGGATTCTAATCTGTCCACATCTTTCTTAAGTGTATGGCCCACAGCTGGACATAGTACCAGGTGAGCTCTCACCAGTGCTGAACAGAGGGGGAAGGATTACTTTCCCTGATTTGCAAGTGGCACTCCTGTTAATAAAAACCAGTACACTGTTAGCTATTTTTTTTGGTTGTGCAGAGGCAACAAGAGCACACTGTTGGCTCAGGAAAACCTTCTTCTCTACAGTCCTATAGCGTTCTTTATCATTTCCCAGTTACAGATACAGGGGAGATTAATGCCAATGGTGGGGGGGGGGGAGCGTTTTACTTAAAAAAGCAATGTTGATGCAAGAACAAATTTATATGAAATCTCTATGAATATGGACTGGTAATTAGGAGAAGAGCGAACCATTAAAAGAGCAAGGTTTTGAACAGCCACCCAGTAGAAGCTGAAAGGGAAGCCACCCAACTTCAAATATATGATCTTAATATGTTTATGAAAGGGATTATATAATGCATGGTTGGCTGTGAACACACAGGACTGAATCTGGCGATGCAGAAAATCCCATTTTGGCAGCTCATTTCTCACGCTAAAAAGGAACCAAGTCAGTCAATACACCTCATTTAGTTACACAGAGACCACAAAAACATTTGTAAATTATCACCTTCCCTAGAAAAGGAATGTTATGGCAGTACACTCAACTTAATGCCCAAACAGGAAGTCACTGTGAAGACAAGGTACTGTCATTTAGAAACTAATATGCACTGGTATTACCTTAGATGACCCCTTCTTTTCATCCATCACAACTCCTCTTATTGCGCATCTTGTGTACCTTCTGTATTTTTTTTTCCTGGCACCCGTCCGGCATAGATACCCCAAGCATTTTCTCAGGTCTAGTGACTTCAAACTAACCTAATCTTACCCAGTTTCACTGTTTCCTTAAACTTGACCACAAAAGATAAGTTTATCAGCAGATACAGCCATAGTCCTCCACTAGGCAATTCAATTTACAATTAGTGTTCCTCTAGTCTGGGCCTCCCAGCAAACCATGATAAACTTTACAAACTCCGTTTTGGACCTATAGTTGTCTCTCTTGCATAATCCAACTGCTCTCACTGTGGCTGCTCATAAAGTGTGCTGCACCAAGTGTAAGAGAATGAATCTCTCTCAGAAGAATTTCAAAAGTAGAGAGGATTCCATGAATTTCTTCAAACCTCATGGTAACTCTAATGTCTAGGACAGTGGTCTCCAACCGTTTTAAGTAGGAGATCAGCTTTGGCATTTAAAACCAACTCAAGACGTACTGTGCACAGGTAAGTATGTGGGGAGGGAAGGGGGGGGCCGACTGAGGAAGAGAGAGAAAAAATTATTTGGGGGTGCGCCTCACCAGCAGATAAGTTCCACCTAGCTGGGGACCCCACTCAACTTACCCCTGCTCCTGTGGCACTCTCTCTCACTGTGTGGGGTCCTCAATCTAGCCCCTGCCCCTTCCCTCCCCCACGGATTGACATGCTCAGCTGGAGCACATGAGCACATGCAAGTGGGCACTCAGCCCCCCGCCCCAGCCTCAGATCGACTCCAAGAGGCTCTGAGATCTACCAGTGGATCGAAATCCACTGGTTGGAGACCACTGGTCTAGGACAACACAGAACCATACTTTACCACTGCTTTAGGTATTGCCATAGTAATAGCAATTACAGTAATGAAAACTAAACACTGAAACTGAATCATAAATTAAATGAGGAAGTGAGATTCTAACATTATATATATATGGCATTAGCTATTATGAATGTAAAACTACTTTTATAGAAGAAAGTATTTCATTAGCCATGATTTAGGCAGAACTCATGTAAGAGCCTGGTTTTGTCTCACGAACTTATGGGATCGAATCAAACACCACTATGATTCAGTCACCCACATTATTTCAAGCTCTCCATCATACCAGCATTTGAGACAACACTGGACCTCTCCTGAAATAAGGTGCTTTACTAGCATACACAGCACTGCATTTCTAAAAAAGGAAGAAAAAAAAAAACCTGATCATAGGATCGAAGTTCCTGAAAGACAGTCTCCATTTTAGGATCAAAATTCCGGATCTGTCACCAGATCCAAATTCCTAAAAGAAAGGATCAGGTATCCAGGTTGTAGTCGTATTGGTCTAAAGCAGTGGTTCTCAAACTGTGGTCCGCAAGCTCCATTCAGGTGGTCTGCAGAAAGGTTGTGGAACAATCAAGAATATTTGTACTTCGCCTTGCGCTTGATTTTTGTTTGTTTGTTTGTTTGTTTGAGGACAGAGATGAAGTGGTCTTCTGAGACCCTCAGCACTTTTCAAGCTGTCTGTGAAAAAAAAAGTTTGAGAACCTCCGGTCTAGAGGAAAAAGCAATCAGGACCTGTAGTACAGACAATATCTTTTAATAGCTCAACAAGATTTTTGCAAAAAAAATGTCTTTAATTGCAAGCTTTCGGGCACAAATACCCGTTGTCAGGAATTGGAGAAAATATTGTAAAAGTTCTCTTGGGTAGAAATGAAGGTTCATATTTCATAGGGTTTCACAGAGGAGTCAACAGATAAAAGAACAGATCCGCTTTACAAGCCAAGCAGCAAGAAAACATCCCAGCAGAAGCTAAGGGGCTTGTGAAACTTCTGAAGAGACTCTTTCAAGGGTGAACTTGGGCAACCCAGGTTTTACTTACAATGCTGGGGGGAGGGGGGGGGGGGGGGGGTGTTGGAGGCACGTGCCCACACCAGTGGGTGTCTGCCCATGCGTGCATGCACTTACACCCACTGGAAAGCTCACACACGCGTGCACTCACACGCGTAAAACAGTACACGGTAAAACAGAGCACCCCACGGAAAGCCCCTGGCTGAGCAAAGCGCAGCGGCCCTTCCCAAGCACACGCGGGAGCGGCGCTGTGGCCACAAAGGCCCCAGGG